AAGTTACGGTACCGCCGGCATTAGCATTACCCAAGGTGGAGATTGCACGGTCGGATTTACACCTCTTTGTGTGTTTGTGTGTTTGTGTGTGTGAATGTGTGTCAACAGAGATAAGGACCCCACGGTTCGTCACTCCCGTAGTATTTATCGACTCCAAATCCTCTCTGCTGTACGCGCGTGTGTGTGTGTGTGTGTGTGTGGCTGATGTTATTAGGCCTGGTACTCGAAATGCCCACCGTTTGCTTCAATGCAAGCAAATATTCTTTTTTCGAAATTATTTGTTGCATGAAGAATTTCATCAACATGTAGAGAACGAATAGCGAGACGTATTCTACGAATCATATCATCCTAATATCATCCATTTCACCTAAAATAAGCATCATATCACAAGCTTCCGCGTTTGAATACGACATGGCTGGTAAATGAGAATTTTGTTACACCTTACGTGACAGTATCAGACATGTCATACATCACGACTGGGTAATGCTAATGCCGGCCGTACCGTAACTTTCAACCCTCATAACTCGAAAAGCACTGATTAAAAAAACGTTTCATTATAGCGTTTTGGAAAGCTCTCGAGGTAAGCTACAAGAATATGTATTGAAAAATGGGGGTTTCCATTTAAGAAATTAAAGGTGACCTTCACGTGATCTTCAAACGACTATCCAAGGTCAAACCAATGACACCACCTTATGTGCCCCTCGAAGTCACAAAACTTTTGTCTGAAACATTTTTCTTTAAAATGTCGCGTTTACGAAAAAATCGGGTAAGACAGATGGTCTGGGACACCCTGTATACATAAAAATGTGTTTAAACATTTAAGTGTGTATATATACAGGATCCCCCACAAAAATCAGGACAAATTTAAATTTGAATTTCCCGTCTCATTCCATTTCGGCGGTAGGTCATTGTTGACGTTCGGGCAAGTCAGATGTTTGCAGTGAGCGTGCATAACCTCAAAATGACGAGTAGATAAGATCGAGTGCGGAATATAACCGAAGAGCGGCGATAACTGAAAGCCTTCGCGTTGGACGTTCGCAGATAGAAATTATTCGATTCTACGGGTACCCGAAATCGACCGTATATGATTTTGCAACTAAATATAATAGCTAGAATGAAATATCCATTCTCTGTTCACGTCCTAGGTGTCTTCTTCAGTGAGGGTCACATCATGCTGCCACATTTTTCGTAAAAGAAAGAAACCATCACAAAATAGGTATATTTACGCGTTTTAGCAAGAGGAGTGAAGCCATGGATAGATACCGCAGCCACCGGGAGGCCGTACGTCTTCCAGCAGGACGGCGCGCTGGCGCACACTTAATTCAAAACTGGCTATTGGATAATTTGGATATGTGTTGGTGCAAGAAATTCTGGTTTCCGAATTGTCCAGATTTGAATCCGTTGGACCACTACGTGTAGAGCGTCATTGAATGAGTAACCAACAAGTCGAGACACCCCAAAATGACATCTCTCCAGGCCGCTATCGAGGCGGTATTCGCCAATATGGACAAGAACGCTTTGCAGGGAGCGTGCCAGTGCTTCGGGACAAGGATCGATGCAGTTATCGAAGCAAAAAGGGTAATTTTACCCTAAAAGAACACCACTAGTGACGTACAAAACGTTTTTTGTAATTTTTAAATTTTGTTGAATTGAATTTTGTTTAAACAAATATTTCATTTTACTCGGATTATGGTGGTGGATCCTGTATATATTCTTCTTCTATATATGATACTTCCCGATACTTAGGACTTCTCCTAAGTACTTCTCCCGAGATACTTCGGACTTCTCCTCTCCCCCCTGTTCTTCCTCTTCGCCCTTCTCCCCCTATGCTCTTCTTTTGCCTCGGTAGTCGCCTGTTGATCTCGTGCTAGGCCAATTTCTGCACTTGAAAGTAATTATTGTTACGCACTGCGACTCTTGCGAACACGCGCGTTTAGGTATACGAAGAAATGATTAGACTTGTTTTACAAATGAAGCAGATTTAAATGTAGCCCAAATACGAAAAGACACTTTCTCTCTTTCTAATTATCTCGCAGCACGACCGACTCAACTGAAGATTCGAACGCGTCTCGTTTCGTCGCAGTTATCTGAATATTGTTGATTACTACAAGCCTAGACAACCGAACAACCATAACTGGATAACTGGTAACGAGTTGTTAAAAATACAGGACATAACAATATTATTAGATTGTAGCTTTAGCTATATCGCTTGTTGACTACCGCGTAGTTGTAGAAATATATATCAGTTAGAGCGTTATCGCGTCCCAATCAATAATATAATAATTCTTTAAAAATTTAGTTTACCATGGACTGTGATCATCGGGCCGTATAACAGTGCACAGGACCGATCGTGGTGATCAGGACGCCTTTATTTAGTCGCGACGGTTGATGTACTAATGTTCAAACTGTTCAGGGACAAATGACACATTATTTAAATAATTTACATTTTATACTTACCCTTTGAGAGCTTCACTATGGAGGACCTAACTCCATCTGTCAATAGTGGCCTAGAATCCCTAGAAACTAGTTTGAATTGCCTAGGTACAAAAACGCTGCGTAGCGCCGGAAACCTAAAACAGCACCGGGCCCACTCCTTAGCATTCGCATCGCCTCAAGCCCGTCATCACGCTCGCTCCACACATCAGACCCGNCCCCCCCCCTCCAACGAACCACCGTGTCGCGCGCTTATCCTAATTTAATTTATAAAGGTGTGGAGCGAAACAAGGGAGAAGACGCGGGAAAAAATAAATCAATCATTCACTTTCTTTTTGCTTTCTTCGTTTCTTTATTTTTCTTTTCTTTCCACCCTCCTCTCTTTTCCCCGTTTACATTTTTTTCTCTCCAAACAATTCCAAAAATACGTATGTATTGTCTGGCTACTGCTCATTCCAATTGTCTTCTTTTGTCACCCAAAATTCTACGGCCGTCCTCCAAACGATATCCCGTTCTATTATCAAGTCTACCTTCTCCTAGCGGGTCCTCGCCCTTCAGACCGGACACGCTTTTTGTACATCCGTAAGAAGCAAGCATGACAAATTAAATATGACTGAACAAGGGACATCCTACCTCTTCTTGATTTTAATACATTTATCATCACTGCAAAAATAATTCTGTAAAAACTAATTCTGCAAAAACATTTCTTTACTCCATTATTGATAATATTTTTATACTTCCACTTTCGATTTTCTTTTTCCTTATTCTTCCTTTTTTCTCTTTTTTCTTCTTGTCTTTTTTCTTCGATGTCGATACTTTGACAGCCGACCGGTTACTACTGTTGTTGCGAACGATCAAATAGGGTGGAGGAGCGATCGCCGATTCAGTAGCCGAAATTTGATGAAAAGTTGACGTGCAAGACAGCCACACGCCGTACGCCACATAAGGAAACCGTCCGAGTCGATGTCGCCCTCGTCGTTAACGCGAGGGCATGAGCGCGCTATGCAGAATGGCGCGCGCGAAAGGCCCGTCCCTTCGGCCATGGTTACGGTGCCTGTACAAGGCTCGATACACGAGGCGAAATGGGTTGCCAACACGCGAAGGGCGCGAAATGCCCCTTGGTAGGCAGCTAGCCGCCGGGTTCCTCCGCTCCCCCAGGCAAAGTGGAGCTACGCTCTTGATGATCTCTGTAGGTCATCCTGGAAGCCCTTTCGGATCTTCTAATGCACGCACTGCGCCGTGGGAAGGTTTTCCCTGCCCCGAACACTGAGCCCTTTGTCGGACCAAGGGGGTGTGTTTCAGGTGCCGCCAGCGACTCACCTGGCCGGCGATGTGCTGTGCCTGAGACAAAAGTGTAAAGGTCCTCCCACGACACGTCTTGCCGTCGAAGTAAGTGTTCTTAGGGTAAACGCGAGCAGAGACCCAGGGACCCAGGGACTTTCAGAAGGGATATGTTGGTTCTCAGCATCTCCCACGTGCCAACCCCACCTCCTCGTGGAGTGAGTCGGAAACGCTGGAGAAGGTCGCAACCTTCCTCTTGGCGGCTGACGGGGTTCTNCCCCCCCCGTGGTATTGGGGAGGGCTCTGTGTGTCCTATGTGGGACAATCTGCCGGCGGCTTGGTGCCGAGGCGCAGAAAGCATACTAACGGCTCGAGCGGTATGAAATCCGCTAAGACAGCAAGCTGGTGTGTTAGAGCCTTGGGGTTGCTAG